GCACGCATGGAGGCCAGTCAGCAGCAGGCGGGCCCCGCCCCGAGGCAGGGTCTCCAGGGGAAGCAGCAGCTCCTCGCACAGGGCCATGGGCTCTACCCACCTAACCACATGTTGTGGGGGGCAGCGGGGGCCGGCGAGGACCACCTGTGTGGGTAGGATGGAATGAGGGCCGGTGTAAGGTCTGTCCGCGGTCCCCATGCCCCATCGGGTCACAGGAAGAGGTGTGTCCTCTGCATTCCTTCCCAGGAGGGAGAGAAGCTGGGAAATGGGACAACTGAACCTTGAATCAGGAGCCGGGCTGAACTCTCGGCCCCTCCCAGGGAACTGCAAACCTCCTCCCCGAGTCCCAGTGCCCTCATCCGTCAGCAGCCTGGTACCTGACCGGCCGGCTGGCAGGCGGAGCAGGACACACCGGGTGGAAAGCAGAAAGTCCCTGTAAGATCTGAGGAGGCTCTGATGAAAGGGGGCCCTCGGGCGGGGGTGGGGGCAGGGGAGGGCAGCAGGATTAGAGACGGCACCATCTCAACCCCGGAAACGGGAAAGAGCAGGTCCAGCCTCCGTGCCCCAGTCCGCCAACCAAACCCCGCCCGCGGCCCCGGCTGCAGGCAAAGCCGGCCTACCTGTGGGTACCTCTTCTCCCCTTTCTCCAGAGCCTGCAGGAGCTCCTGGTCCAGGCGCTGGGCTCTCTCCACCAGTCTCGGATCCCCTTCAACGCTCTTCACCGTCAGCCCCAGCCCCAGGGACATGAACCGGGAGAGATGGCCCTGGGGTCACGAGAGCAAGGACGGAGACAGCCCTGTTCAGGGCCCCTCCCCTGAGCGCCTCCCTCGCGGTGGCCCAGACCCCCAGAGAGCTTATCCGCCCTGCCAACTTCCACCACTCCCCGGCACCTGCTTCCAGGGGCCTGTGGACTCATGACCTGCCTCCTGCTTTCTATCCCCACAACTCAAGAAAAGAAACCCCAAACCCCAAACCGCAGAATATTGGGGGTCTGACCCACCTGGCCTGAACCTATATCCACAACCTGGGTGCAGCCCGTGAGGTCACTCAGCTTCTTCACCAACTACAAGAGGCGGGGACAAAGCTCTCCTGGCCACTGGTCCTCGCTTCCCAGAGCAAACACCCACAGTGAGGGGGGAGGGGCTGCAGGGGGCGGAGGGAGATGGCGGGCGGGGGGGGGGGGGCATGAAGAGACAGGAGATGCGGAAACCCAGAGGGAGGGCGCTGACCCCAGGCTCAGGCTCCACTCCCTGCTCCTCTCAGTACCAACAAGCAGAGGAGCCCCCGCCGGGAAGCCCAGAGCAGACGGTGGCGGTGGGAAACGGGAAGAGGACAGTGATTTGGACACAGCCGCCAACCAACCCATCCAAAGGACGAACAGGTGACCCAAAGGCAGCCTCGAGGCAGGATTATGGCACGCCTGCCCAGGGCCGGCCTGCAGGCGACACAAGGTGCCCACACCCCGGTAACCCACAGCGTGGGCTCCCACACGCCGCCGCACGCCAGCGGTCTCACCTCTCCCAGCCTCCGGATCTCGTGCTGCTTCTTGGGCCTGACGTGTTTCCGGAACGGAGCTGTCAGGCGGGAGCTCTGGCTGGGGTTCTCCAGGAACTCGGAGGGGGTCTGAAACCCAGGTGTCCGGGTAAAGGCCAGGGCACAGGCTGTGGACTTCAGGGCGAGCAGGGAGAGGGGCCACACCGAGCTGTACCTGCGACAGGCCGGCCGGGACCCCAGTGAACAGCTCCGTTGCAACCCAACCGCGCCAGTCTGCAACCCAGGAAGCCCCGGGGAGACTGTGAGCCTGAGTCCCCCAGCCCGGGGCCCCTCTTGCCCATACCTGACCACTTCCCCTTCCCCGGGCACCCCCAGCAGCTGTGTGGCCAGCTGGGGAGGCTTCAGTGCATCCAGCGCTTCCTGCCATGAGCCTGGGAGTGTGGCCCACAGGTTGTCTGTGAAGAATTCCTGCAGGAGGGGAGAAGCGGGCTGGCCACTGCCCTCCCCACTCCTCCCGGGCCCTCCAGACACAGGACCGCTGGCTGCAGCCAGCAGGTGCCCCCTCCCCAGCCTGGTCACTGCTCCCCCCCACATGCCAGGGGCCCAGGCAGCATCCCGGACCCGCCTCTCCTTGCTGCACTTCCCCCGCCTGCCGCTCTGTGTCTGCTCCACTCAGCTGAGCCTAAGAGCGGGACCAGCGTCTTCACCGCTGCATGGGCGACAGCACAGTGACGGGCCTGTGGTGTCAGCACGCTGCCATTGAGCACTCTGCCGTTATGTGTGCTGGACGCTGCACGTGCCAGACGTGGCATATGACAGAAGGCATTTTTAGTCACACGCTGTTCCCCACCCGTTCTGGAGTTCTGCTCACGCACCAAGCTCCAGTCTAGGCTCAGAGAACACACAAAGAAACAGACACTGTTCTTGTTCTCGAAAAGCTGACATTAAAAAAAAAAAAAAAAAAAAGTAACTCCAAGTAGCATCAAATGCCACGCAGACAGTAAAACCCTGATCAAGCAGGTCTGACGGAGTCTGAGACAGCACTCCTCCAGAGAGCAACAGGGACGACTTGTCTGAGGAGCTGGCGCTCGAGCCCAGACGCGGATGATGGGCACACAAAGGCAGATGAGAAAGGCCAGGCAGTAGTTGCGGGGGGAGAATGTGGGGTCAAAGAGAGCAAACTGCCGGTTATAAAACAAACACATCTCGGAGAAGTAAGGTACGGCAGGCTGACTATAGCTAGCAATACTGGACTGCATATTTGAAAGTTGCTGAGGGTAGATCTTAAAAGTTCTCATCCAAAAAAAGTGGATCTGCCTTCAGCTCAGGTCATGATCCCAGGGTCCTGGGATTAAGCCCCAAACTGGGCTCTCCGCTAGCAGGAAGCCTGCTTCTCCCTTTCACTATCTTTCTGTGCTCTCTCCCTCTCAAGCAAATAAAGTCTTTTAAAAATTCCGCTAACAGGAAACACTTATCAAAGACTTTAATATGCCAGGCGCTGCCCAAAACATCTTCCCCATATCAATGCATTTAATCTTCAACCAAACCTGTAAGTAGTCGCTCAGCTTCCATCTTATACCTAAGGAGACTGCCGCGCTGCAGTTCAGTAACTTGTCCAACTCGAAAACCTAGTTAAGTAGCAAAGCTGGGATCTGAAACCGGCTGGACTCTAGTTCTTGCCCCTAACCCCTCTGTTCTACTGCCTTCCTGCGCAGGAAAACATTCAAGCACATGAGTAAGTGCAAAGGCCCAGGTGCCCACCATGTCTGTAGAACAGAAATCAGGCCAGAGTACGTGTGGAGAGTGAACGTGGGAGAACCAGCGTGATGGCCTTCAAGAGGCAGCAGGGCACAGACTGTGCAGCGTTTTCTAGGTAACAGTGAGGAGTTGAGATCTCAGGAAAGCATCCAGGAAACAAGGCAGCATTTTTTTTTTCTTTTTCAAAGATTTTATTTATTTATTTATTTATTTATTTATTTATTTGACAGACAAGGGTCACAAGTAGGCAGAGAGGCAGGCAGAGAGAGAGGAGGAAGCAGGCTCCCCGCTGAGCAGAGAGCCTGATGCGGGGCTCGATCCCAGGATCCTGGGATCATGACCTGAGCCGAAGGCAGAGGCTTAACCCACTGAGCCACCCAGGCGCCCCTTCTTTTTTTTCTCTTAAGTAAACTCTACGCCCAACCTGAAGCTCAGACTTACTACTCTACCACTGACCCAGCCAGAAGCCCCTCATCAGATGTAGGTTTTAAGGAGATCAATCAGGCTGCTTTGTGAAGAAGAGGTCACAGAGCGGACACAGAGATCAGTTAGAAAGCGGTCCAGGAGCGAGAGGACGGTGGCTTGGCCCCCCCCGGAGGTAGCAATGGAGATGGGAAAAAACGGGTGAATTTGGTATCTATCCTGCAGGCAGAGCTCAGGGAAGGCCTCGAGGGCACATCAGCGAAGGAGAGAGCTGCGTCAAGGGTGCTTCTGGGTCTGGGGGCCGAACGCGTCCGTGGACGCCGGTGCCATTCACCCACCGGCTCACTCACGCTTCCCCGTGAGCCTTCAGACAGCGGTGAAGACCACGGCGGCGAAGCCGGGGCTCGGAGTTTCTTTAAAGGTCTCGGTTGACCCGGCGAAGGAGGCAGGAAGGCAGCCCGACCCCGAAGCTCTAACTCCACGCCCGGCTGAGCCAGGGGTTCAGCCACAGCGGGGCGGAATCCGGGACAGCGCGCCCGCGCCCGCGCCTCCCTTCGGACGTGCGAGGCGAGCAGCCGCCCCGAGGTCAGGAGTCCTCACGCGCACGTCAGCTGAACACCGAGGGCGGAGGACCCCCTCCTGCACAGACGCGCGGAGAACCGGGCAAAAGCCACCCCCCGGCCCTCCGCCCGCCGCGCGCACCCCGCCCGCCGCGCCCCCAGCCCCGCCCACGCCCCGGGCTCACGATGATGTAGGCGTCCAGTATGGGGCGGTAGCGCGCCAGCACGCGCGTGAGCTTCACCGCCAGCTGTCTCCGCTGCTCCGGAGAGAGGCCGCGCGCCGAGACGCCCGGCATCCCGGGGGCCAGCCGGGGCGTCGGCCGCGAGCGCGCGCTGCGCGGGGACCGGGGTCGGGGCCACGGGGGAAGGGCCCTCGGCTCCCTACACCCCCGACACCTCTTCCCCCGCCGGCCGCTGGGGCGGAAGACCGGACGCGCCCCCTGACGTCACCGCTCGCGACGCGGCGCGGGCGCACACGTGGGGCGGGGCGCCGCGCACGGCGTCACAGAGGCGTGCCGCGGCGCCCGGGCCCGCCCCTCCCTGCGCAGTTCCCGCCTGCCCCGGAAGTGGGGCCGGTCCGGCGAGCGGCGTTTCTCGCGAGGCGCGGCCTCCCCACCTTCGAGTTGTACCTCCACGGGGCTAGAGGGGCCGGGGAGCGCATCCCGCCCCCGCCGCCCCCCACGCCGCCGCCGCCGCCGCCGCCACTGCCGCTGCTCACGCACTCGGAGTCCCTGGCCTCGCTCCCGGAGGCGGGGGCGCTGCGGGCGCGCGCACGCCGGCCCCCGGCGCGGTCCAACCCGCGCGCCTACCGGCCGGGGCCTCGCCGGCGCGCGCCGACTTCCGCATCCGGCTCCGGGCGCTTCCGCTCCTAGCGGCGCCGCTGGGAGGTAGGTGTGGGCGCGAGGGGCGCTCTCCGTGGCCGGACCCCCCGCTGGCGTGCTCGCCGACGTAGGCGGCCCGCAGCGGCTGTTCCGCCGGCGGATGGGTGTTGTCAGAGGGCCTGTGTCGGGAGCGGGGCTGGGGTGCGATGCTCGCGGGGGTCCCCGCACCGGGGGCCGAGGGAGCCGCGCGGGGGGGCGGGGCGATCCAGACCCCCTGGGCCGGCCCCGGCACTGCCCGCGACCACACTAAGACCTCCCCGCCCGGGCGGACGATGGAGCTCCCCGGTTCTGGCTCGCCGGGCTCCGACTTCGAGCTCGTTGGCCCGACAGCCCCCTCGGTTTCGGAATGAGACTGAGCTCGGCCGAGGGCAGGTGACCCTTGCGAGCCCTGCCCCTGGTGAGGTGGGGGCCGCGCCAGCGTCTTGGCTTCCCGGCTCCGACCGTGCTCCGAAAGGCGTTTCCCGTTCCGGGTTCATTCCCACTCTGGCGGGTGGCTCTGCTGTCTTTCCAGCCTTAAGCCCTCCGGCAGGTGGGTCTTACCGTTCCCCAGCGGAGCCGGCTCGGTTACGAGGTTCACTTTCTTCCCCAGGGTGTCCTCCAGACCTCCCGATGTCGGCCAGTGGGCTTCGGCAGAGGATGAGTCCTCCGTCTTCCTGTCATCAGTAACCATTCTTCTTACCTGCGCCCTCGCCATCCGCTGTTCTCATGTCTACCTTGCTCCTCAATCTGGATTTTGGTGAACCTCCCCCCAAAAAAGGATTTGAGGGGAATGCCAAGCATCGTAAATTCGTCAGGAAGCGGCGGCTCTTGGAACGGAGGGGCTTTCTGAATAAGAAGAACCAGCCACTGAGCAAGGCGCCTAAGCTGAACTCAGAACCTGCAAAGAAAGGGGAGACTTCGAGCGCGGATGGCGCTTGGAATGTCTCTCCCCTTCCAAAAAAGAAGACCGTTGCCTCCAGCAGTGGACCAGAGCAGTCCCTGGACAAGAAGGCTGCAGTGTCGTGGCTGACCCCAGCCCCTTCGCAGAAGGCTGGGTCTGCGGGGGCGAAGGTGGATTTGCTGGAGGAGTTCCAGAGTGCCCTCCCAAAGATTAGGAACCATCCAGCTCGCCCCCACAAGAAGGGCCCCCAGAAGAACCTTACTCAGAAGAATGCCACACAGAGCTCTCCCCAACCTCATTCAGACGATAAGTGTTCCGCAGCATCTCAGAAGATGCCGAAGAAGATGGTGGCCATTGACTGTGAGATGGTGGGCACAGGACCCAAGGGGCACGTCAGCTCCCTGGCCCGATGTAGCATCGTCAGCTACCACGGAGACGTGCTCTATGATGAGTACGTCCTACCCCCCTGCCACATCGTGGACTACCGGACCAGGTGGAGTGGCATCCGGAAGCAGCACATGGTGAATGCTACCCCCTTCAAGGTCGCCCGGGGCCAGGTGAGAGGCATGGGGTGCGCTGGACACAGCGAGGCGCGGGCCCTTCCTCAGCCAGCGGGGTCAGCCTGGGAAGGAGGCAGGTGGACGGCCAGGTGAAGGGGGCTTCCCGCTGAGGTGAGGCAGGCTGAGAGTCCGGGAAGTTCCAGGTCGCTGCCGTGACCGAACCGGGGCAGCTGAGACCCACCTGCGCTCCCGAAACCAGTTCTCTGGGAACTGGGAATCCACACAGGGAGGGAACCGCTGCCCAGGGGCAGAGCAGCAGCCGCGAAGGGCGAGGGAAAGGGCTCCGTTTGGGAATGGCTGGTAGAGCTGGAGTTTGGGGTTGAGCACGGAGAGGTGGAGACGGTTCTCAAGCTTCAGCGTGGGACCGGCAGGGGCCGCCTGTGCAGGCTGCTGTGCGCACCTGGGACAGGTGGCCTGAAGCGGAGGGGATGTAACACGCGGGGCAGGCGTGTCGGGGCTCTCGCTTCACTCACGGAGCACACCTCCCTTTGGTGGCCTCGTGCTGGAGGCCCGACGGGGCAGCTGCGCGGAGGGACAGGGAACGTGTGACCCGAGGGGCGGGAGGAGGTGGGGAGGAAGCGGCGGGTCTCAGGGGCCTCCAGGGGGCGCCCGTGGTTTGCGTCGGTGGCTTCAGCTCCGCGTTCTCCGACCCGGCGGCTCTGTTCTGCGGCTTGTGTTCTCGTCCTGACGAGCTTCGTGGCTTGTGTTCTCGTCCTGACGAGCTTCGTCGGAGCAGACGGGGCGATCTTAGGGAGTACTTGGGAGGAAGGGCCGCAGACCGTGGGCACCGCTAAGCAGGGCTGGGGAGAGGCGGGAGGTGGAATGGGTCTGAGATCTCAACTCCACCTACCTCGGAGGAGGGCTGTGTGTCGAATGAACGCCCAGCGAAGGTGTTGGCGGCCGGGGCGGCCGGCAAATGGCAGTTGCAGTCGGGAACCCACAGGGACCTCGTTGATCGTGGACCCCCGTCCGGTGTTCGTCCTGACGCCTTTCCCGGTGCCCACGCTGGGGTGTGAGGCTGGGGGGTCTGGCCCCGTTTGGGGGCTCCTGGGGGTTCTGCATGACCACAGGACTGCCGCTCTTGTTCACAAATGGGGCACCGCTTGGGGAGCGGCCTTCAGACCTCATGGCACATTCTTTGGTTGTTCTTCTGCTTTAAGATCCTGAAACGGCGACAGGTTATTGCTTGGTCTCAAGACTGTGTGAATAAGGTTCCCGGGCAGCTGGGGAACGAGGAGAGCAGCGGGGCTGGCGTTCCAGGCTGCTGGACGCTTCCCTCTGCAGCCCGAGTCTTTCGTAGCTCGTAGGCCCTTCCAGGGTCTGATGGAAACCATAGACCCAACCCCCAGAAAAGCCCCACGTGCATGACTATTTGTCTGTGACTTGGGACTCCTGTGACCTCCGTGGAGCCCGTCTTCGACTGCATGCGTCCAGCACGTGGCAATGGCTGGGGGGTTCACGGAGCCTGAGCTGAGCTAGAGGCAGGCGTCTCACACGGGACTGGGATTTGGGACTGGGCGATGTAACCTGCCGTCAGGGTGGAAATAAACGAGGATACGGAGCCGCTGCTAAACCCAAACCCGGCCACACCACGGGTAGCAGCTGCTCTGGGGGAGCGGAGCTGGGCCTCAGATGGAGGAACCTTGTGGGGGGGGATGAGGCGGGCGAGCGCATGGTGCAGGAGGGCCTGGAGGGACTCGTGGGCACGTTGAGCCTCCAGGACGCAGGACCCCCCCCAGCCGCCGCCTCCTCACCCCCACATCCTCTGCGCCTGTTGCAGATTTTGAAGATCCTCACGGGGAAGATAGTGGTGGGACACGCCATCCACAACGACTTCAAAGCCCTCCAGTACTTCCACCCCAAGTCCCTCACCCGTGACACCTCCCACATCCCGCCCCTCAACCGCAAGGCCGACTGCCCGGAGAATGCCACCATGTCCCTGAAGACTCTCACCAAGAAGCTTCTGAACCGGGACATCCAGGTAGCGACTCCCCAGATGCTGCCAGGCCCTTGGCTCGGGCGTGGGGGTGGGGGTGGGGGAGCCCTCCGTGCTGCCTCGCTGCAGACTCTGGCCCCACAATCACCCTGGATGGAGATGCAGGAGGGCCGCTCTGATGGGAGGAGTTGGCACAAAGGGGCCCCATGGTCTCTCCACCTGTATGTAGGGCCACAGTTCCTGTTCTCTGCTGGGCAGTGTCCTGGGGTTGGGGGTGGTGTTCAGGAGAGAGAACACCTTCAGGTGTGTGCAGAAGCCCGGCTGGGAAAGGGAGAAGGCACATCGTGGTGCTCTGAGAGCCCGCGGAGTGGGCATCTGGGTCTCCTGTGACGCGCTTGCATGGGGAGAAGGACGGCCTGCCTGGCAGGAGGGCAGCGCATGCTGTGTAGAGAGCGGCTGTGGGAGGGGCGGAAGGTGCCGGGCTCGGAAGGCCCACCAGGGATCTGGAACGTCGTGTGTGGCAAGCGCAGAGCAGCGCGGCATGTAGAGCCCGCAGCAGGACCCGGGGCGGACAGGAGTGCGGGACTCGAGCCCTGCCTGCACCGACCCAGCGGCGGTGGCGTGTCGGGCGGTGGGAGCCCGTCGGGAAGGGAAGAGAGAGGCTCTTATGGCTTCACGCTCTTGTCTCCCTTCCGTGTTCAGGTTGGGAAGAGCGGACATTCGTCCGTAGAAGACGCGCAGGCCGCCATGGAGCTGTACAAGTTGGTCGAAGTCGAGTGGGAGCAGCACCTGGCCCAGAGCCCCCCGAAAGACTAGCGGCAGCGGGGGCGCTGACCCCGGAGAACCGGGACTCTGCCTGCTGGCGAGATCAGCTGTGAGGGGGACACATGCCCATCCTGGGCTTAATAGTTATGAGATGTCACGTCAGGCGTCATGTCGTGTGTCTGGTTAAGGCCTCCAAGGAAGCAGGACGCCTCCACAGCCCTGCGCCGCTCCCCTCTTCCATGGTGCTAAGCCCGGGTCCCAGGGCGCCGGCCTCCAGCGGGCCTTCGACCTCCACGGGCAGGGCCCCTGCGCAGTGTCGCTGCCCCAGCTGCCTTATTACCGGGGAGGCTGCGGGTCCCATTTTAATGCCTTTTGTTCTCAAGTAACAAGCAGCACCCCCTTTCCCTCTCAAGTACCCTGGCGGGGTGGCAGTGTATCCCATACTCCACATTGAGCTGAGAATCCCCGCCTGTCGCCCGTCCTTCCCACCCTGACCTCCAGAAGGCCCGGCCCCGGGCAGGTCCAGTTCTCCTTCGGGCTCCAAGGCCGTAGAGGTAAGAGCGTGACTGGGGAATCAATTTTTCTGACTTAGGAAAGCAGTCTCTTTCCTAAGGTCTTGGAGGGTTTGTTTAATGTAGATCCCCCTTGGTAGGTTAAAAAAGAATTTTAGGTGTTTTCGTGGTTTTTAGTCTTTTATCTCTAAAGACTCAAATTATTCCCTCGATAAACTTTTATAACGGAAACGTGTGTGCTGCTGCTGTTAGAGCTTCCCGTTAGAAAGTTTTGTCAGGAGGGAGGCGCGCCTGGCTGGCTCAAGTCAGGCATGCAGCTCTGGATCTCGGGAGTCGTGAGTTCAAGCCCTCCGTGGGACATAGAGCTTACTTGGGGAACAGAAAAATCTTGGCATGAGGTCTTACGGGGCTGTGGCTGAGCGAGGGTCCGCGGGTCTCGGTGGACGGCACCGTCGGCCCCCCGTTCACTGGAAGTCATCAGGAAGCGCCGACCAAGCCTTTGCGTGTAGCCCACGTGCTCTGCTCCGTCGTCCTCGTCCCCATTGCAAACCGAGCACGCCTACAGTGACGCCTCAAACCCCGAAGACGCCTTCCCGCAGAGGGGATGTGGCCGGCAGCGTGAGTCAGGTGGGCCTGCGGGAGGGACGGGTGCTTGGTGATGCCAGCCTGGTCGGTCCTGCTTGGGAAGGTGAGTCACAGGCCTGACCTCGTGTCTGGGATCACTGTGCGCGCTGTCTTGCGAGAACACAGCCTTGGCGTCTGCTCTGGGACTTGTGCCCTCTTGACTGGCTGGTTTGGCTCCCGGGACAGCGTTCGCGTCACAGCAGCCGGTAGCAGGGAGTTTCCTGTGGCCACGCCAGACCTTTGCCGTGGTCTTGCTGTCCCGTCCTGGCCGCAAGGGGCTGCCTGCCCAGGCGGCTGCGGGGCCCTGAGCAAGTTGGTTCCTGCTGAGCCCAACGTAAGGAATGTGTGTGACACTTGGGAGAGGTGCCAGGCGTCCTCACACACCTCCAGGTGGGAATCATTGAGGAGGGCCGCACCCAGAATGGGGAGTACACTCGAGGGCAAGTCGGAGTCCACTTGTCATGAGTAAACTGGGAGCTACCTGGGAAGGTCTCACTGGAGGTCGGCTTTGTGTGCGTCTGGGTAAACAGCCAGCGGCTCTGGTGGCACCTTACCCAGCCACCCCACCCCAATCCCCAACCTTCTCCCGCCACGTCTGGTCTTGGTGCAGGGCGGGCAGGAGCCATTTGCTCACCAGGAAGAAGCTGGGGCCCAGAGGACCTTGCAACCATTTCCTCCGTGTTTCCTCTCATCACAGTTCCTGGTTAGAGCCCAGCTTGCCCTGCAAGGCTGCACGGGACCCCCTCTACCCAAGTCCCCTTCCTTCTCTGCCCTACTGTTCCCAGGGTCCTGGCTTCCTCTGAAGGTGGCCAGCGCCCTTCCAGATTGCCTTGTGAGTCCTGATCAAGTGTTTCCCCCAAATGCCCGTCCCTGGGATGGAGCCCGGAGCCCATGTAGGGAAAACACATGTTCCTGGTGATACTGCCTTCCCAGCGGGAGGGGGTGCTGTGATTCCGAGACCCCTCTGCAGGTGAGCTTGGGGAGGGGCAAGGCGAGGAGAGGTGTATCCTGCTAGACGCCATCTCGGTGTTCTGAATCTTCCTCAAACCCAGTGGCTCTCCCTGAGAAGGGGGGTGGCGCTGCACCACCACCCCCCGCCAGTGGCCACAGTGGGCCTGCAAGGAGGAGTCGTATGATTCCTGGGTTAATAGAGGATCACAGCTGACAGTAGCAAAGTCAACAGTGCTAGGATTAGGAACTTGCCCAGGGCACAGGAGCCCAGATCCAAGTGCAGAGACAAATGCCCACGAGTGACTGTGCCAGGTGCGTCCCGCGTGTCCTGCCTCCGCAGCGGGCATGCGGCTTCCAGAGCGCTCCCGTTCCCGGCGCTGGCAAGCAGCCCTCGGCATGAGAGCCGGTGACCTTGTCACCGTGGCTGGAGTGGGATTCTGCCACGTACTAAATGTGACATCAAGGGTTCCAGCCTTGAAACCCTGGGACTCGGAATGCCTGGGTGGCTCAGGTTTAAGCATCTGACTCTTGGTTTCCACTCGGGTCCTGACCTTGGGGTTGTGAGTTCAGGCCCCGTGTTGGGCTCCACGCTGGGCACGGAACCTACTTAAAAACGAAAACCATGAGGCTCTTTTCTACCCGTGATGTTAATGGCTGCTGTCAGTCAACAACAATGGGGTCCGTGGGTCAGGCAGGGTGCTTGGTGCTCGGTCCCCTGGGTGCTTGCGCCGTCCTCGCTGAGGCCGGTGCTGGTACTCTCACGTGATAGCTGGAGAAGCCTGGGCTGACGGAAGAAATGTCGCCCAGGCCCAGTAGCCATGTGCGGGTGGCAAGCCTCTGGTCTTCACCACAGCCCGACTCTGCTGTTGACCCAGCCACGCGGCCTCTGAGAAGACTTGGAACCCTTCCGCTCAGATCCTGCTGATGCACCTGCTGGGGGCCGGGCGTGGGGCTAGACACGGGGGAAGCGGCATGGTCTTGTCCGCTGGCCGCTCACCCTCTGACAAAGGGAAACCCGTCAGCTCACTTCAGACAGCCAGTGCTGTCCAGGACCGCTGCGGGATTTGAAGCAGGGGACCCATGAGGTCCCACTGGGATGGGAGGATAGTGCTGGCCGCAGAATGGAAGCTGGATTGGAGAAGGGCCAGGAGGCGAGTTCTGTGTGGATACTTTGGATGAGCGCTGAGGGAGGGCTGCATCCGTGAAGTGGGAAGAGGCCTGCGAGTGTCCCCGCGGAGGGAGAATCAAGAAGACCCAGAGCTCAGGGCAGGAAGATTAAAGACGACCTTGATATTTCTGACCTGCGGGGGACAGAGGGCTGTCCTTCACCAACGTGAAGAGCCTTGGACTGGCAGGAGGGCCTCCTGTAGGAAGGTGTATACAGGAGAGCACAAGGCCGAGATCGGAGGCTTGGGAACGCCCATCTTACAGGCCTGGAGGGAGGCCTGCCGGAGGCTGCCAGGGCGACAGAAGAGTCTCCAGCAGAAACGGGACAGTGTCCAACACCACGGCGAGGGCCAGTAAGATGAGAGCCAGGGAGAGGGTCTGGTTTTTGCATGAATCGGGAGCTACAGCGGGCCCCGAAAGACGGGGAGGACGAGCTTCACCTTGACCATCAGTAGGGACCCTTGTCTTCTGGAACTGAAAGGAAGGTGGGTGGTGTTGGGTGGATGGGTAAGTTTCTGGGCAGCCCCTGGTGACCTGGTGTGCTCACGAAATCATAGTATGAGCCAGAAGCCAAGGGACAGAAGCTGGGAGCTGCAGAGGCTGATGGAGGGCCCGCGGAGGGCAGAAGCTGGGGTTGGAATCTGGGTTTGCAGGGGTGGTGCAAGCCGGCTGGCAGGTCTTCTGGCCTTATCTGGCAGCCCAAATGCAGAAGCGGCGAGTTTATGTGGTTGGGGCAAGGGGAGGCTGGGGTGTGCTGGAGCCCGTGGACTTGCAGCCCTAGAGGGCCTAGAGAGGCTGAGCTGTTGAATGAGGGTCAGAGACGTCCCGTGGCCAGCTGTGGGCTTAGAGACCCAGGAAGGGCGAGCCTGAGCTGGATCCTCAGGGACCTGGGCAGGCGCAGCAGCGAGCGCCTTTGGGGGGCTAAGGCGTCGCCAAGGAGCGTGCGGAGTCCTGACCCCTCCCGTAGGAGCTGGGCCGGTCTCGGTCTCGTTCGCAGACCCGACATTTGCAGAGTACCTCTTTCACGCCCCTCCCCAGGACTGTTAAATACATGATTCAGTCAGGAACAAGAGGACTGGGGCTCCTGGAGGGATCAGTCGGTTGAGCGTCTGCCTTCAGCTCAGGTCATGATCTTGGGGTCCTGGGATTGAGCCCCGCGTCCGGCTTCCTGCTCGGCGGGAAAACGGCTTCTCCCTCTCCCTCTGCCGCGTGCTCTCTCTCTTTCTATCTCAAATAAATCTTTTTTTTTTTTTTTTTTTTAAAGATTTTATTTGTTTATTTGACAGACAGGGATCACAAGTAGGCAGAGAGGCAGGCAGAGAGAGAGAGGAGGAAGCAGGCTCCCCGCTGAGCAGAGAGCCCGACGCGGGGCTCGATCCCAGGACCCTGAGATCATGACCTGAGCCGAAGGCAGCGGCTTAACCCACTGAGCCACCCAGGCGCCCCTATCTCAAATAAATCTTAAAAAAAGAAAAAGAACAAGAGTACTAACGGAAGGCACAGTCGATTATTTCTTTCAGCCTAATAGTCACTGATTTTGGCTGAAGTCACGTGTTTACTTCTTACTCATTTGTCCAGAAATGGTTATCGAGCACCAGCCTTTGCCAGACACTGTTGTACAACCAGCAAAATCTACGTGGGGTTCCTTGAAGTGGGGGCCGATGAGTGCCGTTCAGGACAGTAAGGAGCAGGCAGGTGCACGTGGACACAGGACTGTAGGTGGGTTGTAGAGAGAAGAGCTCTCTGAGGACAGGACATGGGAGCAGAGGCCTGAAGAAAGTGAGGAAACCCATTGTGTAAACACCTGGGGAAGAACATTCCAGAAAGAGCAAGAGGTGCAAGGGCCCCGAGGCAGGCGTTCACTTGGCG